TCAAATCAAATTACTATGTTTTTCAGAGATGTTCGAAATTTGAATGTAATAATAAAATCGAATCTTATTCGATGTTATTATTGTGCAATAATAACATTTTCACAGATAAGAAATTTGTTCCAACAAAATTGTTTATCTTTGTGCTGCCGCTTTTGAACACATCATAGAGGGTTTATGATATGTGTGTAGATAAAAATATTTTTGCACTAATTAGTAAAGTTATTTAACTTGACAAAAACGTCAAACTTCATAAAAACTTTTTTTGCGAACTTTGAATAATGTTAGCTCTAAGTGTTTGAATTTATAGCCCATTTACATATTTTAATCATAAAAAAAGAAAGGATTTTATCAAAATTATGGCTTTCCTAGCTTGTATCAAAAAATGATAGATAATGCAAATAAAGTAATAAAAAATATTAATGTTTACTGAGTGCTTTTATTGTAACTGCATAATTGTTTATAGTGTTGTAAGAAAGAAACGAAGGACAATGGGATATAAATAATCCTAATGCAGTTAGAGGCTGGCGAGGTTTGTGAAGTTGAAACAGGATCTGACGGGGTCGACTTGGATTAGATAGATAGATAGATAAAGCATTTATTCAGCAAATTACATCGTAATATTACGGATAACAAGAAAAGGAAGGTTACAACAAATATTGTATTTGTATTGCGCTGGCAACTTTATAAGTAAGCAGCGCTGATATTCTGCCGACAAACTACAACAGTATGGCAAATTGGAATAGAACTGCTCGACTTGATTACTACTCAAGTCGAGAAGTACTACAAGCTGCACTCGAACATTTGAAAAAAAGACCAACTAAAGAGCAAGTGCAAAGTAAAGAAGTCACTGAATAGGAATTCAACAAAGAATGAACTAAATAAGAAGAGTCAACCGTGACCGTAAATAACCTGTAAAACGGCCCATTCACTACCTGGAAGGCAGTCCGCTGCACTGCTCACACATTATCCTGCGTATGGCCCACGTATGGACGCATCGCAGGATTTCTTGTACGCTGCGACTACATTAATAATCCTGCATAACTCGACGGAAGACAAGGCAGACTGCAATGCAGGATAGTGAACGCCCCCGCAATTTTGATTCGATGGAAAAGTTTCATTTCGTAAAAAAAAATCTTGCAATTGTATGCAATTTTTCCGCTTCAGTTGATTTTACAAAATGTTCTATAGCTACACATATAAACTTTGAAAAATGTGAGAAATAAAAATTCTATATCAATGTTAAACCAGGCGGCATGGTAGGACAGACCATTTAAATTTCTTCTGCTAAGACTGGGTAGCTGTGTGGCCTTGTCTAAAGATACCTTTGTTTAGTTATAGACTCGATAGCCTAAATTAGCCGAGGCTCAATTTATATTACGGCCGAACGGAATGGAAGCGAATTTTTGTAACGATATTGTACATAGCATAATAAACTTCATGGTCAATAGTGTAACGTACAAATTGGATACGAGCCAAAATCTTCAGCGGAATTCTTGCGCATGCTCGAGAATGCTCGTTACAAACATCGTTACAAAAATTTGTATTCTGTAATTTGTGTAAATAAATATTCATAATATTAATAATGTTGCATTTTGCAATTGAAAAAAAAGTCTCGTTCACCATTGATTCCCCGCCAAGTCGTCACGAATTGCAGATTTTTTCTTAACTTTTACTGTTGGCAGTCAATTGAACAACTCTTATTTTTTTAATCGCGAACAATAGTTATAAAAATCAATTGATTTGGATATTGCAACATACTTTTAATCACTTTCCATTTCGCTCCGCCGCAATATAAATTGACCCTGATTGTATACTTACCGATCGTAGAAGCAGTGCGCTGCGGAAAGAACGTTTTGAACTGTGATTAGTGATCCACCACATGATAGAGACCCTCTATAAATTATCTGAAAACATATTACCATCAAATTTAATCTGTCGTCGTTGTTCTAGTGTCACTCAAGGAACTCAAGTCTGCGAATTTTACATCATCTGAGTTGTCTGTGGATAGAATATCCGTGTCAGGATTGGGCATTCTCGGACTAGTGTTTACTATCTAATTCCGTGGCATTTTTTTGATACTAAGTGAAGGGACGAACAAGTCGTGCGCCTGATGGTAAATGACACGCCTGTCCATAGCAGTTGCAGTGCCACTCAGAGCTTTAAATCGCAAAGATCTGAGGTGCACTGCCTCTGCGCCCATCACCCTGAGACATAGTTGAAAAGTCCCAAGTTATTATTTAAATATTCAGGTATATTTTAGTGTAACTATAATAATAAAATAATATTTCACAATACAATACTTAAATATTGCATTATAAAAAAATTGAACACTTAAATAATGAAAGTTGCCACGGAAATTAGGTAGTGAACATTAGTCCGAGAATGACCGGATTTTGTACGTTTAGTAAAAGTTTACAGTAGTGGCTAGCCATCGAGCATCGAGTATATTATCAGAAATAGAGACACGAAATAAGGGTCATCCATCCCTGACAACTCATCAGGCAAATGGGCCTTATTTATATCACTATTAAGTAATAATTATTTTGCGGTCTAAACTTGGCAGATAATATTCTCTCTTCACTAAATCAAGACCAGGAACACCTTGCCGCTGCTATGCATATGGGAAAGTCACCCAGTAATTTGTTTTTTCGCGCAACTAATGGATGCGGGTGAGGTTGAATCATTGATAAAACTATTACACAATGACAAGGCTTCAGAAATGAATAATTTTAGTAATATTTTAATCAAAACTATCCAAAGCTCTATAGTTCAGCCTCTAACTACAATTTACAATATGAGCCTGTCTGGTATCTTCCCGCAAATCTGGAAAATGGCTGTAGTTTGTCCAACATATGCATAAATACGGCCCCAAAAATGTGCCTAACAATTATCGTTCAATATCTCTTCTTGGAGTATTTTCGAAGTTATTGGAGAAAATTGTCAATAAAAGACTTTCAAGTTACCTGGAGTCTAACAAACTTCTATCTGATAGGGAATGTGGTTTTCGCCATGGTCGTTCCACTGAAGATGCAGTGTCCCTGTTGACTTCTGTGGTGTCGTCTCATTTGGACGGTTCACGTCGCTGCATCGGCGTGTTCTTAGATTTAGCCAAGGCCTTTGATACCCTCTCTATCCCAATACTTCTGAGGAAGTTTGAGGGCTGCGGGGTCAGAGGAATGGCTCTTGAATGGTTCAAGAGTTATTTGTCTGATCGCAAATAATGTCTGAGGGTTGGCCAACATATTAGCGACATTCGTGGCATTGGCTTCGGCGTCCTACAAGAAAGCGTACTGGAATCTACGTTGTTCATTATGTATATGAACGATATCCACAGCATTCCTTTCCGAGATGCAGAAGCAATTTGCTACGCTGATGACACGGCCATCACATGTCATGGTACTGACTAGCACCGCGCTACACGAAATGCAGAACATGGTCTATCATTGGTCTGTGATTGGCTTAAGCGAAATCTGCTCGCTTTAAATGTCAAAAAGACTCAGTACATCTGCTTTCACAAGACCTCATCAACAGCTCCATTTTCACTATCTGCTATTATAGCGCACACATGTTGTGGAAGTGGGACGGCGTGCTCCTGCGAAGGCCTACGCAGAACCGATACTGTTAAGTTGACTTACTATTCAACAGCCATTGCAATATTTTGGTACTCTGCTCTTTAATGGCTAGTCGATGGCCCGCCTATTTGACATTAAGAAAATACATTCTATTTTGAAGACTAAATTGTTGCTTATACGTGTATTAATTAGTGAGGCAACATAGATCGTTCGTTAGTTATTTAATCACTGACACTCTATTGAGACTCAACTGCCATTGCAATTAGATTTTAATAAATATTATCTATGTTTTATGTACAAAATTTTATCCAAACAATTAACAGACTGTCGAACGCTGCCAGCATCTTGGGCACCTTGCCGCAGGGGCCCAATCCAAGTTTATTCATATAATTTAGTCCTAGTTTTAGTTTCTAGTATTTAAGCTCTTATTGTATGTACCTTACCTGTATATTTCAACTTATTGTCTAACAAATAAATAATGTTATCATAATTGCAATGTAATCTTTGTAGACTTCAGTTGGTTAGATTACAATGACTGTCAACAAAATTTGCAGAATTGAGACCCAGGTAGAGAGATGATTCCGCTCGTGCAGGGCACTGCAGCACCGCCACGTTAAATTGTGTATTTAGATTAACGTTATAACTCAGATATATAACCAAGTACCTAAGTATATTGGCACTGGGTAAATAAATTATACTGTTTAGTTAAAATTTTAAAGCAATCTCTCACGAAATCGAATAAGTAACAGTTTCACGTATTCGAAGTTTTCGATATGATATCTCATCACTTTTTCCAACAATATTAATTTGAATAGCATCGTAAAATCGTATTTGAAAAAAGGTAGTTCAAAAGTGAGGTTATATTTCATCTATACCTTTGAAACTTTAAACATGTGCTTCGGAAGTTTTAAATTCTTACTATTCATGAAAGGAAAACCGCTAGTATGACTCAATTAAACAAATCGATTAATTAAATTAATTAGTCGATTTTTAGTTTGCATTACAATTGGCCATCACTAAACCGTCTATGGTCAGGTCAGTGACTTGTCTTTTACCTTTTGTTTAAAATGGATTGAAACGAAGTTATTTATGAAGAACTTTTCTGAATATTAAGCCTTATTCTACCATTTTCAGCACAACATCAAAACAATTTTAAATAGCAAACCACCACCGTGACACTCAGATATATTGACTAAAATAACGGATAACTCACGTATTTAAGCCGAATTTTTGCTCGACATGTTTCGTACCAATTCGTGGTCCTTAATCATGAGATTCCGCGGCGGCGATTTGACGGAAACTGAATCTCGTGATTGAGGACCACGAATTGGTTAAATATGAGTGTCATCCGTTATTTTAGTTGATATAACATCAAACAAAACACGTACATAAAGGTTGCACCAATAACAAACCAGTACTTGTTTTAATTGTAGGCACAAAATAAGGTGGTTATTACAAACCTGTGCAGCAAAAGGGTATCTTTCAATAGTGGCAGGGGTCCCTCCTATGATGCAAGTGTCCGTTTGTGCAATGTTTGTAATATCTACAAACTGTACTTTGTCTTCGATGTCGCAGGACACTAACAAAAAATAAAATAAATACGAGTTTATTCACTAACACAGCTACGAATAATTATGATAATAGCTATCAGTAGGATAAGGGAAAACACGATGGCAAGCCAATTTTCAAAGTTTGCTTTTTAAATAAAAAAAATTCACCTCACTAGCTCGGAAAGGCTTTCTTTCTCATTAGAAATTTGCGCGCAAAAGCGTTTTTTCCACGTTAGAGTGGAAAAAGTTTTTAAAATTCAAACTTGACGATGGACTGTGGTGCACCTAAGTTTTTCTTTCGATGAGAATAAAAACATAATGACACGTTCAACTCCGCGATTTATCGTACGTTATTTATGTGATATAAATCCGTTGGTATATTTTATACTTCTTATTGTTAATTGTTAAATTATTTTTCAACTTACTAGCTCGGAAAGGCTTTCTTTCTCACTAAAAATCTGCGCGCAAAAGCGTTTTTTGCACGCTAGCGTGGAAAAGGTTTTTGAAATTCGAATTTCACGATGTGGTGTGGTGCACCAAACTTTTCCTATGAATGAAAACAAAAAGATAATGACACGTTCAAGTACGCGATTCGTCGTACATTAGTAATTTATGTAATATAAATCCGTTGGTACCTATATTTTATTCTTGTTATTCTTATATTGACGATGGTAACTAATCATTGTGCTTGTTAAATTATTAATTCATCGAAGAATTAAAATAATTTCAACAATCACTTAATCACACAAAATAAAAGTACAAGCAAGAATAACAATTGATAAGTTGTAAATTCAGAACGCATCCGAAGATATATGCTATAACATATCTAATAGAATTTAATTCGATTGAAAATATATGTTAATGACGTGTTATTGATTGCTATGATAATAGATAAAGAGTACCGTCATATCCAGGTATCGATAAAGAACATTTCTTGAAATGTTACTTTCAGCTAAACTAACTAGCTAGCTAAGCTGGCCAAGAGGAGCAAAACGGCAAGTGGGCAGACCACCAGCCCGATGGTCTGATGATATCGTCAGATTTGCGGGATCGCGCTGGATGCGATTGGCGCAGAATCGAAAATATTGGCGCAATAAAGAGGCCAATAATATAATAACAATAATTTATTTATTTCATGTAACATTGACACATGTTATTTGTTAATAAAATAACTTAATGCTAATGTTAGTAAGTACAAAATTATACATAATAGACACTGCTGGAAACATGCAATTCACAGTAGTGCCTCACGTACAAACAGTCGAACCTGTCCCTTATCGAGCGCAGGATGGGGTTGGGGCCGGCCTGCACCCGGCGCACAAGAGACTTGCTTCGCTTGCGCATGGTCGCGTAGAAGCAGTCAACTCTTGCTTCTACGAACATCCCTGATGCGCTACAGAAGCGGGTCAGCCCCACCAGCACCCGGAACGCATTAATGAAGGCCCCATAGGCCCGCTGCGTATAATATCTCCACAAACTGCATGTGTATATGGAGGTACAATATGCTCTAAACAATGTTATTTTAACTTCCATAGTTCAACGAGCGAATTTACGGGAGATCATATTTGCCCTAACCGATAGAGCCCTTCGTTCCCGCTCGATATCCATATCGTCCTTCAGGTCAGCCTTAAAAATATGACTTATGTAACAGCAGTGGGTTGATGTTGGGTGACCATGATGAGTGTTCATCGGAGGTATCGAACGAATACTACTACATCTAGGAATATTGGACGTGCTAGACTCTGTCTCTCAGCACTTTCGACAATCATTAAATGATTTATTACTAATTTTATTCAATAAGTTACAATTGCACATGGATGCACTGGTATAGTTCAAGAAATATTATTTCCGACGATGAATGTTATCTCTTGGAACGGCTTCTCCTTTCTATTACAATAGGGTGATAAAACCATTAACACTTATTTTATTTAAAGCTTACACGGATTTAACGATCTTGGCCCATTGTACCAGTCATGGGTGCGCTAGGTGCCTTGTTGAATTCTAGTTTTCAATTATTTCTTTACTCAACAGGTCGTGTCAAGTTATTCACTCATAAAGATTATCAAGTTTTAGTATTTAGCGCCAATGCGTAAAAATATTGAAACTAATTGTTTGCACCATACAGAAGGCACGTGGGTTATATTGTACTCTAAAGATGTAATGTTATGAGGAATTAGTGCAAATAATATTTCCCCAACTATACATACGGCAGCATAAAGCCACATACTGACGGATCTTCTATCGCACTGGATTCGAACAAATGTGTGTAATAGCCATTGACTTACAATTATATGGACGTCGGGTCCGCGCTAAAAAGTGTCCGAAGTAATAGGGCGTTAAAATCGTATACAGAGCGTCATTCACGCTCTAGTCTTCGTTTGTTCGACTGACAGCGAAGCAAGGAAAATTAGACAGTACTGCGATGACATTACAATTTAAATTCAACGTTTTAGCTTTTTCATATTCCTTGACATGTCACTACGTTCAAATAGGTTGACTTGGGACATTTTTTTCGTGGTTTTTGTATTAGACCCGTCGTCCATTTATTTGTAAGTCAATGGTAATAGCTTTATGCGCTGTTGACTGCACCTACTTTTAATAATAATAATAATAAATCATTTATTTGGACATCTATGGCCCACTTGTTAGTAATACAAAAAGATACAGAACATTTAAACTTAAAACTATTGTTAGTAGGCACAATTTACGGGACAATACATTGACAAACACAAGAATACGTATATGCAACTTACCGCTCGAGGCGCCGATAACCTCATGATCTCACCAGAACCTGGATAAGATGTTGAAGCATCGGCGCATCAAGCTTAGCCGCAAACATTTTCAGAATGCTGTTAGGACTAGAACGCAATTGATTTAATGCAACACTTTATAGTTGTATATCTCTGTATTTTGATGATCTTACGACCGGGAATCTTACCCATCTTCTTCATGACCCGAAGATTGCCCTTAATATTAAAAAAAAACTTACCCCAGCTCACAACACCGAACAAAAGGACAAGACTCAGTAAGTTCTTCATGACGGTTTTAATTACACTGACGTCCGATAAATGATCACTGATTATGAAATACATTTGTATTTAGGCATATTTCTTATAGATTTATTTACACGCTATCAGTTAAAGGGGGCTATTGGCTACCACGATTTCTAGGTTTGTTTAAAAGAATTCGTGTAAGAAATGTTGATATATTTTGTTCAATTGCCTCTCACATCTCACAACAGAAACTAAACTAGGAAAGTTTACTTTAAACATCGAGTAATAACCAGAAATAGCACAGCGCCAGTTGGTACAGCGCCAACAACTGACCAGTGTGTACGTCTCTGTATATTCCAAAAATATTCCATTCGATGGTGTGGGAAAAATAGCAAAACATCTAATTACAAAGGAAATGAAACTATTTTTCCGGATTTAAATCACGTATATTTGCTTTTTCAAACAAAGCAACGTATCGAGCCCTTTGCAGTTCTCATGGTCACGGTTGTCTGAGGTGGTACAGTCTTCAACCAGTTGTGACTAATATTAATGCAAACCACCCTATTTTTTCACTATAATTACAAAAGTTATTAATAAAATACTTTGTTTTTAATTTTACAAAAAACATTCCAATTTACGCTACATTGTTTTACAAATTATTTTATAGTAACAATATGAATTTTTATTAGGTTAAATTTTTTATTAATTAGTAATGGAAATTGGAATAAATTAAAACATTAATTACTACTGCAGTCTTATGTCTGTTTGATATTTTTCATCAGAGGAAATACTGGATCCCAAACTGGTGGTGCGGAGAAACCATCTTCCCATTGAAATTGGGATGTTTTTTAATTTCCACTCCGTCCCATAGTTAGCCAGATTGATACACCAACCTACAAACTGGCTCAACACATGGTAAAGGTACTGTCACCATTGAGAGGGAACACTTCTACACATGTGAAGGATTCATACCATTTCATCAGTGGAATCAAAGATCTACGGTTAACTGATGATGACACCATGGTCAGTTTCGATATTCAGTCATACAGATAGGTATCTCAATGGTAATTACCATCACCATCCTAGCCAGTTAGCAACCGTGGGCAAATCTTGGTTTCAGAGAGCATTTGGTATCTGCGACAGTAATCATCTGGCAGGGGATTTTCAGCATATAAAGCAAGTCCTGCATGCGAATAAGTTGAAGATACTACTCCAATACCGCAGGCCCCGTGTGAAACCATCAACAGTCGAGCGAAGACTTGCCATTTTACCTTACGTGAGAGGTGTTACAGACAAGATCGGAAGAGTCCTCAGGCGTGCATCTGTCAAGACCTATTTCAAGCCTATGAGGAAGATTTCTCAGTTCCTGAGACCCGTGAAATGTAACATCCCCTTTAAGGATGCAGGAGTTTACAAGCTTGACTGTGAGTGCGGTCTCTCTTATATATTGTACAAATAAAGCGAAGTATTTGTACCCGCTCAAAGAACATACAGCTGATGTCAAACACCGTCGCGTAAACAAGTCTGCAGTCTGCGAGCATGTCATGGATAAACCTAAACATTCAATAAAGTTTGACCGCAGGTCCTTGCAAAAGAAGTCCGTTATTTACCCAGGATGCTGCGAGAGGGCATTGAAATTAAAAAACATCCTAATTTCAACAGGTACGATGGTTTCTCCGTATCACCAGTTTGGGATCCAGTATTTCCTCTGATGAAAAATCCCAAACAGACATAAGACTGCAGTAGTAATTAATATGTTTTAATTTATTCCAATTTCCATAATTAATGAATAATAAATTTAACTTAATAAATATTCATATTATTAATAATAATAATATAATAATAATAAACCATTTATTTCAGGCCACACCCCATAAGATAATGGTGTTAGTTACAAAAGAAAACTTTAAAGCTATGTTAGTATGATTGCAATGAATTTTGAAATATTCAAAGAAAATTTAAATATTAAATTTGGAAAATGCACAATTGTTACTTAATTTGACCAGTTGTAATGTTTACCCAAAACTTTAAAATTGTACAGTCAAAACCTAGTATTTATGTGGTCTGCGGTCAAAACGATGGGCAAACATCTTTAGAATGCCATTGCTACTGTCACGCACTCGCTTTAACAGAGACGACCACTTTTTTTCGCCTAATGGCGTAAAAGTCATCTGTTCGCGCTTCAGCAAACATTGCATTAATATGATGATGTTCAATTTTGTTATAATAGTGAAAGTAGGGATAAAAATCAAAAGTAATTTATATACTACATTATTGATAACAACACGTTCTTGAGCCATAATATTGGTTCCGATGTGTGAAATATGATTTTTATAAAAACTATCCATTGTGACTGGGTCAACGTTCAAACAGTGAATGGTGTAGTGGATGCACATAATTAGACAATATAAGTTACACTGCGGCCCGCCGTTCCCGCACTACGACACTAGACAGTGGTGTGAACGGACGTATCACACGTGTACGTGAAGTAAACACATGTTGTTTCATCGAGCTATCCCTATACTAAGTAGCGTAAACGCCACAAGTGGCGACGAGGATAAAGAACGTGAGTAGAATTAATAATATTTCAAAATGTCGTCGAGGTTATCAGCTCCGACCCAATTTTGTTAAAAAAAAGAAAGAAGTGGCGGTATGTATCACGATTTCATATCATTAGAATCCATTTCACTAAGGCATATAAACATAATATCTGCATATCATGGTGTACTACACCCGTGTCGTATTCTATTAGCTCGAGAAATGATATAAACAAACTGATACTGTTGGCTACTAAACTAGCTAAAAACACAAGTGCCTGCTAATACTTACAAAAAATAATTATTCTCGTTGTTGTGTAGTTGGTACTGCCTGTATTGTAATTACTAACTTACATTGTTAAATTACGCATGAACTACAAATGTTCTAAGTGTTGTACGATGTTCACCTACGACTATACATAATATGTGAGTGACTTTACAGGAAAATTGATAACCTGAGTAGATTTGTTGTTTGCAATTTAAACAAACTTGATTTTTAAAATATGTAACAAAATAAAGTAAAAGCAAATAAAGTTTGACCAACTTTAGGTTATTAATTCAGCAGTGCAAATCCTTTCTTTGATTATTAGACATGGCCTGCAAATAGCATTTTTGTGTAAGCAGCAGCTCAAATTTTGTTTACATTGAAGTAAACGTTTTTGTCACTATATTAAAATACTGCATGCCTACTCATTGAATGACTGGTTTATTCTGTGATTGATAACATTGATGTATTGATGCACTGTAGCTGCACTCCCCTGTATACTGTTTGTTCAGTCCGATTCTCAACCCGGTACTTCTCCGCTCGTCAGCTGGACGTAGTAGAGTAGGGTGCTGTCCAGTGGGTTAAGACCCAACCGCTCAATAGGCAGGCAACAGCACGAACAGGGTTAATCTAACCCCAACGTAGTTCCTGACGAGGCCAAGTACTAAAATTATTATCAGTACGATAGATGCCTGGTACTACTACAAGTTTTGTGAAAATGACCAAAGCACAAGCGAAGCCGGTGAAAAAATACTAGCTATAGTCCATCTGTTTAGGTACTTAAATAAATGTAAACAATCTTGAGATGTCTATTTAATGAAATATACATTTATAAAATGATTTTCCCTTACCTTCAAATACAAAATACAAATACTTAGCTTCATATGAAATTGCATGCCTATTTTTATACCTATTGATTTGTAAAGCATGTGTTTCAATAAAAAGATGTATCAAGATTGTTTACATTTAGTTAAGTACCTAAACAAATGGACTATAGTATGTACCCAGGGTGATATGCATTGTGAACTATACTGGGCTGGGGTGACAGTTATAAGAAAGCAGAGACGGTTACAAGGCTAACTGCTAACTGTGACATTCCTAATTAATTACCTTTGTCTACTTTATGTTCATTACTTTTGTCTACTTTGTAGAAATAATAAGTGTTTAAAACCCAGTAAGGACGACACGAAACCGACAATGAATTAAAAAAGTTTCTAAGCGAGTGACATAGTCTGTCGTTCGGTCGCGCCTGTCGAGGGAGCCAGCCTTGTGGCCACACGGCCGGCGGCGGCGCCTTCTGCGCCCGCGCCTCTCACCCCACACACATTCCGCATTCAAGATGGTCCAAGAAAGAAGGTATGTTATCTTTAGGTAATATTGTGAAAGTATCATCAACGTACCGTTTGAAAATCTTTGGCCTAGTTGGGGCCATGGGTAAAACTCGCTCCTCGAAGTCGTCCATGAAAATATCGGCGACAACAGGAGATACCGGGGAGCCCATCGCTATACCGTCAATTTGTACGTAGAATTCATTATTCCACAATAGATAGCCTGATGTTAGGCAGTGTTCTAATAATTCTGCATATTTAATGGACATATTCTGTTCCCTTAGCTTTCTATGTACAATTTCAATGCAGTCTTTTACTGGTAGGTTGGTAAACATCGACTGAACATCAAAACTGACCATGGTGTCATCATCAGTTAACCGTAGATCTTTGATTCCACCGACGAAATTGTACGAATCCTTCACATATGTAGAAGTGTTCCCTCTCAATGGTGACAGTACCTTTGCCATGTGTTGAGCCAGTTTGTAGGTTGGTGTATCAATCTGGCTAACTATGGGACGGAGTGGAAATTAAAAAACATCCCAATTTCAATGGGAAGATGGTTTCTCCGTACTACCAGTTTGCGATCCAGTATTTTCTCTGATGAGAAATATCAAATTTTTTTTAAATAAAATTAATAAAATTTTATTCATATTTACCGAAATAGCAATTAATATTAGTTCTTTTACCTATAAATCGGTATAAAATCATCACCGGCACCTCTAGGTGTGTTATGCTTCCAGAGACGCACGAATCGCGCAACGCTCTGTGGCAGCATGCGTCCACGGCTGCATGTATCGCGTGAGCGGCTAGAATTTATATTTCAAAGTTTTCTCTTTCTTACATGCTCTCAAATTACAAATATTATTTTTTTCTGTGCAAATTCACTTTTCGTAATATTTGAGTATTTGTAAACACAAAACAATAAATTCAAAATTTCATGTGACATTCCCGGGTATTCTCTAAAATATTCCCAAATGGAATATTGATCTACTTTAATTAAATGTTTGCATGTCGATAATGACTTGTCGATAGATTATGGTACGACTCTAAAGAA